ATATATATATATATATATATATATATATATATACATACATATATATTACAATCTTTTTTTTAAGAATACACGAAAAAGTTAACGTAAAACAGCAATATTTGATGATCGAGCAAATTCAGTGACCTTTAAATGTAATCAGGATGCATGTTCGTTTAATTTTTTCATATCATAGTGAATACGAACAAAGTTAATATTTCAGTTCTTTCCATCATCAAGAAGTAAATTCTCCAGTTTAAGTGTGCAATGACCAGAAATGTTAATGACCCAGAACATACTATTATGTTCATGTGTAAATCATCAACAGCAAATTTACGTTTAAGAATTTATTTACTGTTTAAGTTCTTAGGGCTGAGAGGCTAGAATGGTTGATCTGAGTGAGCAGCTTAAAGAAAGCAACTTTTATGAACTAACTGTCAAAATACTTCGATACTTAAAAAAGATTAATTACCGTTATAAAATTTCTACTATTTTACGAACAGTTGCGAATTCTTGAAATCATCTTATCCCTGTATCATTTTTCCACTCAAAGGTTAGTTTGTGCTTTCATGTTCCTGTTTTAACTTATTGTGATATTGTAATTTTGCTATCTTTGCTGACCTTTCGGACACCTACACTTTGTCAATAAATATCAATAGAGAGCTGACTTGGACCGATAACTTAGTAAAAGGTTTTTTTGCTCGAAATGCTATAAATTTACTCGCCTCCCTTCGCGTTGTTTTCAGATCTTCGGTAGTTATTGAGCCTGCCGACTTTCCGTTAAACAAACTTTAAAAATAAACTTTGTAACTTTTTTGGCTTGACACGGCAAATAATCTATCATCAATCGCAGCCGAAAGGCATGGATGAACGATCTCCATTTTACACCAAGCTTCATAATTTCCAGATTTACTCGAAGAGCACGAAGAAGAGTTAAAAAAGAAGCATCATAGTTAATCAGAACTGACAGCACCTCTTAGTTTTATAATTTTGCCGGTAGAGTACGCTGAGTAGCTGTCTGACCTCTTGTCTATTTTTCAGCCACGTAAAAATTTTGAACTCTTCGTATTAATCTTATTTCTTGCTCGAAATCTTTGTAATTGCCTCCACGCTCCTTTGTGGTCAATATTAAAATATTTTAACAGTTTCCCAAGTAAGAGCAAACGTCAAGCAAAACTTCACTCAACGCACAAATAATCAAAAGCAATATCAGTGGGGGTGTTCGTCCGTCTCACCATCTTTACGATAGGTTTCACCCATCCCTCCTCTTCGCTCGAAAACACCACCGACAGACCATCTTTGTAGAACACTTAGAGACTTCACAGAGACCACGATGAAAGCTAATTTAAGTTGTTATGGCATATTTCAGTTCAATTTCCCATTGCTTTGACCTTGCTAATACTAACAACTCAGGACTTCGTCGCTATGGGAGAAACCTGACCAAAGCTCTCAGAAGCAAGAAAATGAGCTAAATTTCACACTGGTTATGATTCTCTTTCACAAAATTAATACAAATATACTTTCGTATTTTTCTAGAGAGTAAATAGCTAGTTTTTTGTGTACATTGGGAATAACAAAATGATCGTTCAGATCACAGAGGGCAAGTCTACTGAGTTCCACGTTGTTTTGCTTCATTCTGTTTCCGGTTACAAGAAGGGCTTAATCCTATGTGGTCGGCGTTAAATTCAATGAGACACATTGCATGGCAATTTACGCGATCGGCACTCAACGGATACGCCGTTTACCAGGGTTTCTAACACTTAACTGATTTAAAGATATGATTCACCAACAGGAAAGCCTTCACCCCCGCGTTTCCAACCAACAACTTGAAGCAGAAATGACTCCGTGGATTTTCACACCCTCCCCTTGGGGTAACGAAAATGAGATTAACGCAATCCTTTGAATATTTTCAAAACCTTTAAGGCGATAATGAACACTTAGGGAGTGACGTTGAGCCTTTGAGCAGCTTTGACAGTAACTTTTTATGCGAATAATGAATGCGAAGCAGTAGAGCTCGAAGCTTGGGAGCTTCGATACAACGACACCTCATTCCCTGTAAAGCCAGTAATGAAATCGCATGATTTTCGCCACATGCAATATGCGTTTCCTGTCTGCTAAACATACACGTTGATCACAAGTTAAACAGAATCACATCAGCACATTAAAAATGGACATGGGCAAAGTTGAAGTGGCCGACACGCTTCTTAACCCTATTAACATGTACTTAGAAATTGGACTAAAATATTAACATAGAACAAAGTGTTTTCGAGCAAGGACCTTCTAAAATGCCCAAAAAAATTAACTAGCACACTAAAAGTTATGCAATAATCCCTCCACCGTTACGTTTTGTGTACACTATTCCAATTACTATAATTACGTTCAACGCAGGAGGTCGCTGACAAAAGGTGAGAAAACGTGACAGGATATTTTTTTTCTTTTTCCTTCACTGTTCCCTAAAGAAAGAACATGGCCAAGGACATAACAAAACGACGTATACTGAGAAGCTTAAGTTCAATATGTTTACAAAACATCCCTGTTTTTCCTAGCACTTCTCAGAAAAAATATTCACTCTCCATGTTCCATTCCCATTAAAAGGGATTAGAACATAAGCTAAATGTTTTGAAAAGCGAGTAATGGCTTCCAATAAGGATTCTTTTCTACTTCAATTATGCACTTCTGTGGGGGACCTAAATCGGTGCTTTTCATTTCAGTACAAAACGTCAACAGTTCACTAAAGAATACGTTTATTACAAACTCAACCAGTAGAGAGGAAGGGAAGAGAGGGTTAATTCTCAACACAGTGCAAAGCCTTTAGCAAGTATATAATATTTGTTTTCTTTGGAACACGCAGAACTTCTCAGATGACATTATTTCGAAACGTAACTCAGGAAGCCTAAATTTAATGGATGAAAAATTGCATACAATGGTATTCAAAACCAGTGGATAACCGGCCCATACAAAAGTGTGATTTACGGATCAGTAATAGCTCCCGCACAAAAAGATTGCGCTAATTGGTTACCACTACAATAACTACCTTTAGGTGGGGTACAGTCCGTTCTAATTAAATTACCATCAATCACGACGACAGCTCGGTACTTTCTTGTGTTACAGAAGGGAGATTTGGATTACTAATCAGTTGCATCTCTTAGATAAGTCACATAACAAGCATACGACTTCTACTGTGCACAATTTTTTCTTCATTACATGTCAACACTGGAGTTTTAGAAGTACTTTGCTCAAAGGTATGACCTTTTTTACGCTCTTTTCGAAATGGTGGTTAAAGAACTCGATATGCGAGCCTCACGGTCAATAGTCCTGCTTTCCTGAGTTATAAAAGTTTCATCTTCCGACTTCCTGATTTTTGTAATGGCGCTAAATCAAGTTAACGTAAGCTTCATGTTTTATACCTTCTGCGAAAGGTACGCTTGTGAACAAGTGTTCCTATTTTCTCTTCTGTTTTACCTCGCTTAAAGAGGCCAAAATCCATCTCCAGGCTCGATAGCTTGTTTATATAAGCTTATCATATGAAACAATGCAATAATTCTTGAATTCTGAATGGCCGAGCCATGGGAATATTACAATGTGGCCCACTTAGTAAATTGTATACAAAATAATCGCATTAAAATACCGTTTAAGACCCGTTTTTCACAATGTAGGTGCATTTTATATTTATTTGTTGGGTGAATGCCGCAACTGGTATTTTCATCACTATAACACTATTTTAATGTGGAAGAAAGCGTCACTCTCTGGATCATACAAAATACCTGGCGATCATTCATTTAAACTTAAGACAAATTAAGAAAGGAAATTTCGGATTTCTCGCTTAAAACAGAAGTGGAAATTATCACAGCAGGCAAAAAGCCATTTTCCCAACGTGACATTTACCAGACAACTTAACCGAAGTAACAAAAACCCGCACGACACCTCTTGAGATTAAAAATCCATGTGATGTTCTCACAAAAGCATTAACATTAATCACTAGTTCAGTCTCCTCTTGTTGTATTTTCCAGTGCGGCTACTGAGAGGTAGGCAACGTTGACCGTACTTTATCGTTGATCTGAAGTAAACGTCACACGATGGACTTAACATCATCATTTTCAATCGACAATATATTAAGAAGTAATCCATCTTCGAGAAATGCCAGACAGATGTTTGATGAACCGAAGGCACCGCAGGCTCTCACATTAGCAGAGCGCTTGGCAGGTATGTTACTAATACTTTTCAGTCTATTTTGCTTCGATTGAAAGACCCTAGATAAATCATTCAGTTGATTTAATGATAAATGCAGCAAATCGAAATCTTTCTACTGTGAGCTCTTTACGACTCTTGATTCAGAGCTACTGGGTATTCAAATACTTAGACCATAAACAGAGCAGCGACTCCAACTTCTAGCGACTAGCGAACGACGACCACACTTTCTGTAAACAACCGTCCTCGGCTTGTAAAGACCATTGTTTGTGTGTTGATCGAAACAGAAACCCAGAGACCCAGAAACAAAGACTGTTCCCCAGAAGGATAGCCAAATTACGTCATTTTACACCTCTAAATCTTTGCCTTTTCCTTCAGAGAAAGACACTGGCAGTGCATCGTCACATTCGAGTAGCAGTAATTATGAATTATGAAGAAGCACATTTTCACAAAATTCCGAGAAGTTTCGACAATTTCCGTTTTCCGAACATTTCTCATATAGTTGAAGCTCTATACCTGTTTATCTTCAAAATTTCAAAATGTGACATTTAACCTCTTCACAACATGGTATTCTTTACAATTCAGAGGGATTTACCTTTGGATCTACCTTGTCATCACTTTGCAACCAAACATTTTCGAAAGAAAAAATAATTTAAGTGTTCACATTGCAGATATAATCCTAGAGGTACATTACAGCTCTACAAGGGGAAAACACCGACGTTCTCGCACAGCTTTCACGTATCAACAGCTTCAGCTTCTTGAAAACACATTCACAAAGACACATTACCCGGATGTGGTTATGAGGGAACAGCTAGCAACTTGGACAAATCTTCCAGAGTCAAGGATTCAGGTACTTTTATTTTTTTAATTCAATACCTGCACGGAATAGTATACCCCAAGTAAAAGCGGCCTTCTGCTATTGGAAACGACAAGACCTGAAAGCCCATTTGTAATTAAATTATGTACTCTCAACAAATACAGGGCAATGAGTTTTAGAAAGTGAAAGAGTGCACTAGGTTTGTTGACAGAAAACCTTCTGGCTATGGATTTGGAATAGTAAAATATTCTTGTTGAGCAACAAAATATTTTTAAAACCCTACTAATGACCGAAACATATCAAATGAAAAAGTAAAATTACAAACTAGCTCGAAGGATTAAAAACATTTGTTTGTTGGTTTTCGTGCCCTGTGTGGCATGCAGTTTTCGTATGGGAAATAGTTGGTGCTTACATACTTGATTTCCTTTTCGCAACTACGGGATGTCCCGATTTGCTAGACCATGTTCATTTAACTGCCAGGTGACAGCCCTTTTTGATGAAACTCATTCGACAATCATTTATCATCCGGCAGGTTTGGTTTAAAAACAGACGAGCAAAGTACAGAAAGCAAGAAAAAGTAACAAAATTCCCCAAGCCAAGCAACCATAGCAGCACATCTTACAAATCAGATAACCATGTCAAAATCAGCATTCATGATACAACTGGGCGAACTTCTATTCCTGTTCCTCCAAGTATCGCCATTGGTGGGGAGACCCCATCGGCAGAAACAAGAGAAGTAGCGACTGCACTTGGATCAAGAGCGAGCCCTGGACGGAATTCAAAAGAAGCTGCTCAGGTGTTTTCCCACCAAAGACAGCCGTACACTTTTAAACAATATCCTGTTAGGCAGTATGATACTTCCTGGCATTTTTCCATGCCAAGCACATACACATCAACTCATGATTGCTCTCTCCATGGTTGCCGTGGTAACGAAGTCGATACGAGTGGAGGTCAAAAGGAATTGAATTCACGCTGTATAAGGAAACCAACTTCATCTAGTGTTGATCTATGGCGTTCTCAAGCAGGATTACGAAATGGCAGTTGCTCAGGTCCTGTCGGCTGCAGGCCGTATTAACCCTTCTATGAATATGACGTTCGCTTCTGTATAACCCTTTTAATAACATGTTTCCGTTATCCTATTACCTATGATTCCATGAAGAAATAACTAATTTGACTGGATAAATGAAGCCATTAAAGAGCGCCTTTAAGTTAACCATGGACACAAACAGACGGAAAAATTGTTCTCTCGAACTATTGAGGTTCCTTTTTCGGTACCGATTTGTTATATTCAACCGGTTAACTGTCACTGAAAATCGTAGAAAATCAGGCTGACATAATTTCATTGCTTGAATGACAATTACGTCTAGGGCAAGGTTTCCGTGGACAAAACTGAAATTTGAAATGAACAATTTGAACACTTCTTGTTTAACCTTCAATGTTTGAAGCTGCGTCTTGTACTGATAAAAGTAGATTAAAATGACCAAACGAAAGAATAGAAGAAGAGAAGAGTTCCAAAAAGTTATTCCTTCTGATAAAGATCACTTGAGTTCAGTTAATGTCTTTCTTCTGGCTTTTCTTCATGTCACAATTGTGACAAAGCTCACGGAGACAAAAATCAATCCATGTCAAAAACCGGGCTTTAAAATTTGTTGCGTTATATGTATCTCTTAACCTTTTATGGAAAGTGAAACTAAAATTGTCAAAAGTTTAAAACAACAGATGCCCTCAAAAGAAAACTCCTTAGATCATGGTGTTGTAATTCAAAGTTTAACATTGAAGGTTACACTTTCGTGCCCTCTTGACTGGTTACTAAACCCCATATCCCAACCCCCACCCCAATCCCCCCTCCCTTCACCTTTACTTTTTTTTAGTGAGAACCAACCACGACTAGGGAGCAAGCTAAATAAGCAGTGGTAAGATGGTTGTTGATAAGAAGTGTACAGGTACATCTTACACCGTAGTTAAAGGAGAAAAGCTAACGAGCAATGATTAGCAGTCTTGTTATGGAAAAAAAAAGGGAGGAAAAAGGAGAAATCCAACTTTCTTACCTTTCTAGTGCGACATAAAAACACAATGATTTGTTGTCCCAAGCACCCGTCAGCATCCTGAACAACTATTTTTACAAGGCATCCATCTGTTGCGAAAACTAAAACTTGGCATCCATACTTCTGTCGTGTGAAAGGCCTAAGACACAGCAAACAAAACAAAGCATATAGATAAATTCGATACTTTTCTCAGTGACACTAAGGCATAGTACTCTAGCAGAGATTGTTCAACTGTACTGGCAGACTACATGAGATCTGCTGTAGCAAAAGATCTCATCTACCTACCGCTTAGACCATTTTTTTGTCTCGATCATTTTGCGAACCGTGAAATAGGTTTCTACGTCGTTCAGTCATGCTGTTTGCAAGCAAGTTAAGTTCACTTGACATTTATTGTGAACATGGACTTTGTTTTCTGCGGTATAAACAGCTCGTGGGCAGATGTGCAAATTTGGAATTACTACAAATAGTACACACCGCTTTATTAAAACGTCCTCGTGCTGTGTTGAATCAAAAATCGACATTTGATCTCTTCAATGAAGCAGTAATGAGACGCCGATAATGTGGGGGAACTTCCTTATTGATATACTGATATAGTGAACAAACCAGCCAAGTTTCCTAACAACAAATGCGCCAGTAACGCAACCTTATTATCCGCAATTAATCAAACGATAGTTTGCAGCTATCGACCATTCTTAACACGAGCAAGTACCTAAGTAGCAAAAGTTTAAAGAAAACCGGTATACGATGATGCTGCTCTTGGAAAGGCGCCCCCGCTCCACATACTTAAACGTCTTCAGGCGGAAAACAACGTTTCTGACACCAGTTCCGGTAAAAAGCCTCTGCAAGCAAGCAGTGCATCTTTCAACTTAGCTTTAAAAGATGAATATAATTAAAAGTGAGGGTGGATTTCCAGGCTAATCACGATACCTGTCACTCAAGGTTATTCAAGCTCGAGTCACAAGCGTCCACTTGTTCTGTAACAGTTTAAATACAGTGTATGAACTTTGATTAGAAAAAAAGTTAATTGGTCTAAACACCAGAGATTAACAATAAATACAATGTCGCACAGCTTTACTAAATAAAATAGCATTATCCCTTCGCATTTTTCCTGAACGAATAGCATCAGCCCAACAGGTTTCGCTGTAAAGTTTATAGCATGGTAAACTGACATTGCAAATGTGAAAAGGCACATAGGCACTGACATCCTTTTTTTGATGAAACCGTCATCTGTTGTTTAGTAACGAAGCGTCCAAAAGTATAATTTGGTTATTTCATATCAAATCAAGTTACGTTTAGTGCCGGTTCTTGTGAGTATTATTCAAAGGGAAAACCTCTTCAGTATGCATGTGCAATAATATGGCATGCATATTCTATTATCAGCTTAAATAAGTTTCATTACGTTAAGTTCAATTTATAGCAATGTTCCACATATTTTTGTCATTTCCTGCCATAAAAAAATCCCGTGATTGAACAGCTTTACTAAATCACTGCAACGCATTAGTAGCCCCACCGCGGCATCAGTGGACTTTAACATGAACCGCTGCAACGCTGTCGAAGGTATTTTGAGACTAAACAATTACCTGACATTTAAAGGCTCGCGTCTGAATTTTACATGTACCTTGCTTAACTTAAAAGAAAGAACGCAAATTGTAGCCTTTTGGCAGACGCTTGTGACAAATAGATAATTACCTCATCCTTTTAATCTGTGATTTGTGTACATGATCCGGCAAAAATTCGTGATGATGAAAAGGATTAGTAGGAATTTTGTGGTGAAGAAAGCTGACAAAGATTTTTTCTTAATCTTAGTTGACATTTATGTTTCAACATAGCCAGTTGCTCTAGCTTAAACTGACTTAAGAGATACTTTTTCAGATTCAAAAAGCGGACGAAAATCATATTCCATGGCTTTTGCATGTAGTAGGATAAAGTCTTTCTTTTCTTACCGCATAGTATCAAAGGCATCAAAGCGAGGACGTCTTCCGAGACTCCTTCTGAAAGCTGGGAACTGTCACCTGATCACTCAGAATTGTTTTATGATTACTACACATGTGTCTGCAAATTCTCTCAAAGAGGATTCAAAGTTGTTACAAGGCTTTAATATTCAATGGACCATTTCCTAATCCTATTTTGAATTTCGGAGTTCGTGCTTTTCTGAACCGCAAAATACTCGGAGAAGCAAAGGAAAAAAATTACGGGAAGTCCAGCCCTTCGAAAGTGACAGTAATTAATTTTCATCAACTGTCACTGTAAATATTACGGTTGGCTTTTAGAGCAAGGAATCAAATAGGAACGAGGACATTAGAATTCATCCTAAGTTAAAACGAGATACACAGTTTGGCAGAGGCTCATATAGGGAGCCCGCATGGAAAATATGTTAAATGCAAAGCACTTAACCCTACATACTGATGCGGCAAGTATAGTCAGGTATAGTCGGACGAAGGTCAACTCGATAGAGTTAAATACATATTTTAGTGACCTTTAAATATCAAGAGGGCGAGCACAACCATCTTACGACCACTATCAATCAGAACGCGTAAACAGACAACAAAGGCTTTCAGATAGTACGATCAGACATAACAATAAGTGCAACATGGTTCGCACATCATCCATGATCGTTTTCAGTGATCCTCTCTCTAAATTCGGTGATACTCACCTAACACAACGAAAGTAAACAAGTTAATTTTCTTCAGCGCTTTTTGAGAGGATGAACAAAGCAACTCATCACCTTTAGGTGGGGCAACAATTAAAGAAATTAACTTGCCATCAATCACTGACACCGTTGTGTTTATACGAAAGTTTGAGAGTAAAGTTTTGGCCAAATACGTAATAACAGAAAATCCTCTTCAAGGCTTTATCTCCATCCCTAAAAAAGAAAATGTACCACTAAACGAACTGTACTTACTGTGCAACTACTAAAAATCTAGAGAATTATAGACAACTATGAGGAAAATGACGTTTGTAGTGATACCTTAGAATCATAGTATTGAATTCGAGCCAAGAGTTGGGAATGAAGGCGGAAACCAAAGTAGTTTACGAAACTTTATGTCGTGGCTAAAAATATCCTAAATGAGTTTGGCAATATCAAGGAAAAGTGATGTATCACACTATAGGGGTTGACAAACATAAGACATTGGCACAAATTTAAAAGGTTTCGAGTTAAGGAATTTATTATCTTTTATTATGTAATAAAAAAAATCACCTGGAACCCAGTTTAAAAATATTTGCGAAAGTAATAATGAATTACTTGTGACCGTAAGTGTGTGTAAAACGCGACATGATTGTGTACGGAGGTCGATTGCACTTACTTCCTGATAAACAACAAGACCCTCCCATTATCGGAAGATAAAAGGATTCCAGTCTGGTGCACTGACGGCACATTTCAGTACAGTCTGATTTGCGGTTCTTGATCCTTCCTCCAGGGTTCCTTTTCTTAATTTGGTAGTCACCTGGCATGGAAACGAAATATTCACCATTTAACATCACTAATATCCTACGGCACGAGAGCTGTTCTACCACACCAGGTCACCTGGTATATAAGGGTGGCAAAAAACACGAGACAGATAGGCCTATCATCCCGGCACAAATGTCGTTAGCCGACCGACTGGCAGGTTTGTTCATCTCCGTAGTTCTCTTTTTTTTTTCCTTAGCTTTTCGAGAGATAAATTTTTCAAGTTAGGTTTATGAACACGATGGGGTCATTTTTATTGACCTGCGCTTTGTTAAAAAAAGTTGCCAAATGCGACGACAATGGTGGGTTTGTTGTCATGTAGGCGAGGGCGAAAGAACGCCCAGAAACATTCTTCTCCTCTCGGGTGTCTTTTCATGGTTAACTGGCGATATTTTAGTTCAATCGATCCTAGACTAATCCTTCCTTTTAAAGAAATTCGCGTTTTCGTGAAGACACAATGTTTTTGCGAGGTACTGGTGACAGGCACGTAATGACACGAAGACAGATCATTGTGTGTTCTTACTGTTTACCGGACCATGTGGCTCATTTTAAAGAAAAGCAACGAAACGGACATAAGGGCATACATTGACATTTAACAAGGTATGTTTTCTCTCTAAATGCAAGAAAGTCATGTCTAATTTCAGCGTCAAACTTGCAGTTTGTTACAGGCACCATACATTTCCGCTGCGAATGTAGAAAGCTACATTCATCAATTCAATTAGAAAGGTCTTCGTATTCTTTATGTCGCTTCTTTGTAACCTTTAGGCACTTGTCGACCGACGTTAACATGAAAATAACTGGTTTCACAGTTATTTGAAAATGTCGGCTGTAAAAACACTTTTTGCAGCTTATAAAACGCGTTTTGCGGTGTGTCGAAAGTCAGTTTAGAACCTAATAATTACTTGATAGGTGTTACAACCTAAATTAGTTTCCAACAGTGTCGCCTCGCTCAAAGCTCAGCTCTTGTCCAGTGTTGACAAATTCTTCGCTAAAACGTCGACTTAAAACGGTATGCACAAAATTATGCAACCAGGAGGAAAAGCTACTGCCTTACATCTATGTTTTGTCGAATTCAATTCATCACACCTTGCTCTCGAATTGTTGGAAGGTATCAATTCGTCATGTCTTCCTTTGGAGATTAGACTTTTGTTGTCTTGCTTTTCATCGTTTCATGTAATCTTCGGGTGAGAGTTTCGCATCATTGTATTACATGTAAAATATGCTTTTTTTGCATTGTGGCCTGGTTCTGCGTTACGGAAATGAGTTCTCGAGCGCACATAAATTCGATTCATTGGATTTTCGATAACGTCTTCTGTTCGTTGGAAAGAAATCTCGCGAGAAATTTATTTCTTTATTAATGTTAAACAAGTGTTAATCGTAGTTTTTGTATAAAACAGTGAATATCCCTCCAAACACTGGTCGGTGGAAACAAGGTGACAACAGCTGTTGTTGTTTATTGGAATAATCGAAATGTCGGAATTGCTAACTTTACTCCAACCTTGTTATCTGATGTTCTAATAAGACTATTTATGCATGCCCTTTTTTCATGAAGCCAAAGTGCGTACAGCAGTGTTCGTTTGGCAGTACAAGAAGACATTTATTTTGCAAATTCATCGTCCAAAGTCATCACTTAGTAATTGCTAGTTCAGTAAAAGCTCTCCGCGAACATTCCGGTAAACATACAGCACTACTTTCGAGTGCATTCACAAGGTTGTGTAAACTCCATATAAACCCGCTGGTCACAGATTCCCGTTGGTGGGTGTTATTTTTAACATTAGCAAGCCCTTTTTTGAGTTACGATTTAGACGATTCTTTTGCTTTTAAGCTCCCGTAAGCGGCACCCGAAAGGAATTCCATTAGCCTCCAGGTCTTACTTTAATCGATCAACTTCACATCCCTGTTAGTCACAATGATTTCACAATGCAATGATTAATTACAGGGCCACGGTTATGTGGTTGGTTTGCTCGTACACATCCTATGTTGATACTGCCATACTAAGCGGCCATCTGTCGCTTGCACGTCTAGTTAGGACAACTTTTCCGCGTCCTAAGGGTGTCCGCTTAAAAGAGCTTCCACTTCAAACTTATCAGAAGAAATCGCCATCATGTTTGAATAATAAAACCCTATAACTGTTGCCACTAACCGCATAACATTTTATGTATCATGCAAATACCATGTACAACTGCCTTTGTAGTTTCTTGAGTTGAGGTATGTCAATTTAAATCGAGCTTCGGCTGAGCAAGTACAATGATTACAACTCGGTTCCATCGTGTCCATCCCACACGTAGTACCGATGAGATAACGAGTTTCATGAAACAAACCGAGAAAAATACACAAAACAAACCGCAAATCACTAAGCTTTTCTCTCGCTTTATTAAACAAAATGGAAGTCTAGTAAGGAAATAATTTCGATCTTTTTCCTAGCATCAGCATAGAAAAAGACTTGTGATCAATTGTTTCTCATGGCGGATATGAATCCACGCCCTGTATAACTCGATTTACGTTTACAAGGTTTATGTCACACTAAGAAAACTCGCCTCTCTAAGCGATGGGTTTTGGCTGAGGTGCTAAGTTGCAAATTTGTTTCCTTGATTTGTGTGTGTTTTCAAAAGCTTATTAGGTCGCATTTGCGATTTGGCATTTGTTACTAGCTGTCGCCTACGGCTCCAAAAGTCGTGATGGGTTAATCTGCGATGACATACTCGGGTGCTTTGTTTGCTCACAAAGGTATTTTGGGTGGTCGCTTGATTTTGATAGCGTTACTCAAATGGGAGTTGCGTTAGTAGTTCCTCAAAGTACTGAAAAAATATGCATATTTCCTGATTTGCCAAGTTGAAGAAATGTCTCTGGTATCCGGTAAATGGGCGGCAACGCTATGTCAATTTCACCAACATCTGTTCACAATAATTCGTATTACTTTAGTGCAAAACGATGTCTACTTTACGGGTCACAATGTTAATCTTTGAACGTTTCATTTTGGTGTGACCCTTTCACTAAGCAATAGAAACTATATGAAAGTACAAGATTATGACATAAGCTACAAGAAGTCTCTAGGTCGACTCTGATCTGTAATTATGTGTGATCTGTCTTTATATAACCGCCATATATGGAGCCAGAGACGAACCGAAATACATCTAATTCTGTAACCAATCACAAAATAATTTCTGACCAAAAACATTGAATTTTTTTCTCGCTACATGTTCAGGTTTTTTATCAATCATTTTGCTATGTTTAAGAATTTTACAGAAATCATAAATCAACTGTAATTTAATCATAGGCAATGGTCAAGCTACAGCATGCGTATACGTAAAGTTTTCAGAGGTTTATTTTTATTTGATCCAGCATACGAAGAGACCACGACGTCGAAGCACCACAAGTAGCTGCTAGCATCAGCGAATCCTTCGGAATACTCGATTGTAGCAATGCATTTTGTTTAAGATTTCCTTTTTGGATATGGTCGAAAAAGTGCTGGTTCACCGGAAAGTGAGCTATACATAAATTTACTATTGAACAATTGCTGTGACAGGCGGCATATGTGTAGTAAGTTCTGGACCCCTTGCTGTAAGGAAAGTGGCAGGCCTTCAGGTAAACACACGTAAAATTTATCTGAGTTCAATGGACCAAGCTTGTCCATTGATCATCTCACGAAAATTGTTCACCCTCATATGCTTCACTTATCAGTCAGTATTTACACGGTTTATATCTAATGGGAAGCCGCTATACTTGGCAAAGGTCGTACATGGAAGTCGCTTGGCATTCGGTGGATGGAGGAAAACACTATCAAATCCATCAGAATGGTAATTACGCTTCGCAGTACTCTGTGAAGGACTTGGTATTTGGACTAAGTCTTTAATGCTTGGGTTCTACCCGCATACAAATCTCGATTACGAAGGTTTTGTTTTTTTAGGTAAAGAATGCAAAATAACATTGATGTGTATGGGAACCAAAACCTAGCAGGCATCTTAAAAACACTTGCAAATTCACTTAAAGAAGTTTCCAAATTTATTTGTAGATGATGTAGCAAATACATCACTGCGAAGCACGTTGTTAACGAGAATGTTAAATAAGGTAATTCGAGCTTCATTTCGAGGAATCGCAACGAGGAAACAACAGTATGCACTTGCTTTTCAATTAGTACTGTTTATGCTTGTCCCACCTATTTGAAATCAATAGCATTCTGAAAGTTAAGGATTTATGAAAAATTTTGTTTATCAGAGACATGGAAAATACCCAGTTTGTCAATCAAGCTCACGAAATTTTCGGACTGAAACAGAATATTTGTTCAACGTAAGTTATGTTAAGACCACAATGAACTGAACTGAAAAGAAACAACACAATATGAAGGTGGCTGCTAATTTTCAACAAATGCTACACGAAGAACAATTTGTCAAACTAAGCGACAGCTGCCTATCGGTACCACGGTTATCTTAACATATAAGACGCCGCATAAGACCCGACAACATTTGTACGTGCCCTGCTAGTGTGCCTTTGCAGAATGATTAATTACATTGGAGGGAAGCATCCTTATCGGAAATGACACCAATTACTGGGTCATGACCACGTGCCTTAAAAGGAATAATGAGGCCGCCTATCTCCTCAGCTGACTAACATCAAACAGGCGAAATCATAGCCTAAAACAGAATTAGTTTTACTTTGTCAAGTGCGATAACAGGTCTGAAAACCCGATACAATTAGGACCTCCGACATTTTAACTACCCTACGTCAAACACATTTTTACACTACACTATCACGACTTAAAGTACGTTCCACTTCTAAAAAACAATAGAAAAACAAATAGTTCTCAGGATAGTTAATCTATCTTTCTATTCAAAACTCGCTCATTCTCATGCAAACGATACGCAAAAGAATGACGGAAAGATGCCAATGAAAACGGTCTTAAGGAGATTCCTAAAATAGCCGTAAGGAACACGCCAAACCTAGGCACTACACAGCGTATAAAGTATACTTAGCGGATAGTAAGGGGTGTTTACCCGTGGGATTCCAATAATAAACAACACTTCCTTCGTTTACTCAAACAATACTTCATTCTTAATTGCAATAAGTTGCGGGTATCAGGTGGAATTCGACTCAGCTAAGAAATCAAAGCTGGAAACTTCATAGTAATACCGTGCGATCGGCTGAAATTTCCCCCAGCAGGATTTGAGACAATTGTTCTCTATCACTTTAATATCGTCCTACCTTAAATTGAGTATATTTTATAACTATGTCGACGCACACCACTGAACGTCTACAAAGAGAAACATTTCGAGCTACAAATTGCAGATTCACAGTAAAGAACACATTTAGATCATTCCTTCCAAAGACGGCTATTCACTCAGAGCCTTCTTCAGTATTCTTATTATTGTAATTTAAACCTTTTTAAAACCTTTACAGAAGTAATTTTGGAAAACCAAGAGGACAAAGGAAAACGCAAGCCAAGACGAATGCGAACATGTTTTACACCAAGACAACTCCAAGTACTGGAGCAAACGTTTGCGAGAACACATTATCCAGATGTACTCTTGCGGGAGCAGCTGGCTAATTTTACAAATCTTCCAGAATCAAGAGTACAGGTGATGAAAGTAGTCTCCATTTATTAGATAAACCTTAAAAGACAAAAAGCTTATTCATTTAAAAGGAAATTGTTGAGCTGCTTCAAGGCGGTAAATAAGGCAAACTTCCACCTAGTGCTAATCAACTCGAAGTGATTGAACATACCTTAACGAGGTAATTTTATGATGAAATTAAAAAGATCACCAATAGCCTTTCACTGAGGTATAGATATGTTGTAGTTAAATAGCTGTAAAAGTAAGATTTGAGACTAATTTGAATCATTGGGTGAGACTTGCAACATAAAGTTCCATTAAAACTGACTGAGTAAACATCAAAGCAAGCCGTGTCTATCCATGGTAAAGAAAAATGAGTTGACTATTTGTTAACATTTTGGGTACTGCATTTCAGTTCGAGGGGACATTCAACATCAGAAATTAACTCTTACAATTTTAAAATTAAGTTATAAGGATCACATTATTTTCAAATAAAATATTGCTGCTGTTGTTCCATAATGACTGTCTTCCTTTCTTACAGGTGTGGTTCAAAAATCGCAGAGCAAAGTATCGAAAGCATGAAAAGTCTGGAGTAGAGGTGTTTACCAAACCAAGCATTCCTTCATTCCTTAAACCAGATAACTCAAGAATTCAGAGGCATGAAACTTCATCGCAGTCTCACTTTCCCATATTTCAAAGACCAAGAGGTGCAAGTCTATCAGTATTGTCATCAGTTCCGAGAAATGTGGACGTAGCCGATCGACTGCATGAGCGCGCCCACCACCTTCCGAGCGTGTCTTCATTTCTTCCGCCGGTTCGAGAAATCCTTCCTTCATGTAACATGATTCCAACACCTATTCATTCATTGTCTTGCCCACCTGAGTCGTGTCGCCAACCATTTCCGACATACACTCTCAGGCATTTCACCGATGTATCCCCTTTCGGTCCAATTAACAATTGAAACTGGAATGTAACTAATACCTTAAATTAGTGGTCCATCGCTCAGAGGGCTAGAAGGATTATAAAGGTCAACCTGCGTTGGCAACTGTCAATAAGATTCAATTAAGTACATATTAATTAGGCGCCTCGCAACACGTAAGTATAGCAACTTATTCTCATAGGCACTACTGTGACAGCAGAAAAACTGACCCTTCCCTCTTCAGTTTATTCCTATCAAAAACAACAACAAATAAAAATGTGAAGATCTCAACTTACAAACACACCATCATGGTGTCATAATTATCCATGTGTTTCTAAAGTGTAAACATAAACACAAATATAGTACCCTCAATATACAGCAATAGCATCACAATACATGCTATGTTTTCATCATCATGTAGCTTCACCATCAATATCTCATAATTGTGTTATATACTATTGAGTCTTTCTACCCAAAAAAAATATATTCTATTCAAATGGGATTTGAGCACATTTCATATAATCTATGTATTGCAACTTTTATGTGAATACATAATTTTAGTCCTGCAATAAATATTAGATGATATCACCACAAGGCTTAAAACCGACATTAGCAGTTTTTCAAATAACTGTGTAAAGTTATAATAATTGATGACCATTTGCACTGAGCTCGTGTAATCTATCTCTAATTGTAAATAAGGTAGCAATTGCAAAAACATACTTTCAATAAAAATTACTTCCATTTCATCGAACAGGATTTTCACTCAGGATCAAACATCTAAAGGTTATGCTTCTCGCGGAAGAAAGTGACAACTTCCCAAAAACGTGGACAATTCATCGACTGTTTTGTACCTTTCATAGTGGACGTTATTCGCGTCTTCATGGCTGGCTCATTTCAAAGACCTTTTTTCCCATAAAACTGATATACCTCCAAGTTAAATTATGACTGATTTTCGTGATTTCTGAATACTGATGCGAAACTTGACTGAAATAACTGAAGGATAACAGCAAATCAACCATGATAGTACCTTGTTCATGCATAAATGCAATCTCCCTGTGGTGAGATTATCCTGATTCTCGAAATCGTTTTCACTTCTCGATATTAAAAAAAAAAGGAACACAGGAGCCTTACAAGTTAGAAAGGTCTGCCTCGTTGTCAACCACACCAAACCTCTTTTGATGAATAATTTTGAATCTTTGACACAGCTATAACATTAATATAACAATAGAAGACTATTTTCGTGCGTGATTTTTTGAGGCAAGTCTCTATTCAAAGTTAACGATGTTAACTTCTCACGCGAAGTCTGCGTCGCTCAAGAAAGATCTCTACATCCAATTTTTTGGCGATTTGGTGCGACAAATATCAGGTGCTGTTAAGGCAAATACATTCACCTACGTTTTGTCTGAGTTAATGAATTGGAACGGATAGTGCAAATATAGACACACGCCCTCAGGCAGTGACAAGCTGCGGCACCATACGTTATCAGTTTAATCTACAGACGTCTTGCAAGCTCAAAATAATGAAGAGAAAAAAAGAACATGTACAATAATATTCATCAACACTTTGTCTTATGAACACCTTTTACCAAAGGAGAAGGACAATGAAATGCAGAACGCGCTTCGGTGTGGGAGCCAGTGGGACCCAGTGGGAATCTTCTAAGTCACGTACAAACATATCTTATCCATTGGTGGGCCGTGAACAAACCTGATTTCGTGTTGTAAGTAACAACTATTCTTTAAAGTCTGAGAAACCAAATTATTCACTAGTAAACATATGGGTTCTTTAGCTAAATATTTATCTACAATCGTTGTACTTTACTTTTCTTACAGGTAAAAAACGCAGAATGATGCGATTCAACTCTTCCTTTTTCAGTTTATCAACAAAGCGAAGTTTTGTTTTTCCATTATAATACGAGCACCAAACGCTTTTGCATTGTAAGAAATACAATACCTTTCAAAACCCTGATTAATTATTTTCTTCCTAAAGTGAAACCGAAGAAGGACATTTTACAATCGTAGCTTGAGTTAAACAATAAGCTATGACAAAAGAGCCGTTTCCTACGCCATTCGAGGTAATCATTCCCTATGAAGAAAACAAACTAAAAAAAAACGGCTTCAAAAAACCCATCAATTGACCTACAAATTTTAGGTAAGTTTTAAAAAGTTAGGGTGTTTTTTTTTTTAAGGACGTTTAACCGTTAACTGGCAAAACCGCGTTCTAAATAATGATCAATCACACGCTACATGTTTTGTCTTAACTTTAATTTTTAAGGGCTCATAACTGCAATGCCCTGGCAAAATACTCAGTTACCTTAATCAAGCACTAACGAATATAAGTACACCCGAGTCCATCGATTGTTTGAAACCACGGCCTAACTCAGACCTTGTAACCGCAGCACTCGTTGCCAGTGTGTGAGGCGAAAGGCTCAAAGACTTACTGCATAACATCAAAAAGAGTCTTATGTTTACCGAAAAGAAAGATTTCTTTGAAGGATGTTAAGTTTGTACCCCATCACAAATTTAAGTAATTTTATAACTTTGAGAAAGGAGGCTCTCGCGTGCTATAGATGTAACTGTTAGAGTTCCGGGTGGTTTTAACACTGATCAACATTTCCTAGGCAGAAGCTACCACCTCAACTGATTCTAAAGTGCTCGTCTTTGTTACTATTCATTTGTTCCAACAACGTTAAACACACGATGCGAGTATATTGCTTTAATATCTCGAATTAGACAGTTTCAATTCCCAATAGCCTTCTTTTCTCTGATTCAAGTAACCGTTGAAAGCCCCACCTTTCCAAACGACTTCGACTGCACGAGTATCGATCTAATTGAGTTACGACATGAGTCCAAAGCCATGACCGATGCAGCAAATATCAATTTCGCACACTTTCCAGCCAAGTACAACAAGTTGGAGTTTGGAGAAGGTCCTAACGAGGGAGGGATAGCTAGCTGTTTAGAACTTTAATCAGAAGTAACTTTCCTCTCTTTAAAAGAAATACCTTCCCCCTCTTGCATTCGTCGATTTCCGACCCCACAAGCAGTGAATTTTAAGTGTTAACTGTTTGGGAACCTAGAGTTCAACCGCCGGCGAGAAAAGACATGCTAGTTTATTTTGAATACCTTACTCAAACAAAAGGCTTTCCTTCTCTTTGCTAATTCTTTCAGTGGGAATTTTTGACACTGTAACATTTCAAAGCCAGCCTCACTTCTTACATAAAAGACTAGTCCCCAAATCCCTCGGTCCTCTAAAGAACAGCAGCAAAAGACTAGGGAGTACTCATGCAAATTCTTCTTTATGCCTGATCTTGGTTCTTTTTTTCATTCTGATTTTATGTCAAAAAATGTACTATACCAATCATTGCATCTTAATTTCGAAAAGTAAGACTGATTTTTTAAACTTGGGAATCCCGCTACTCGAGAGTGCATCAACAGATTTTGTACTATTAGAAGTCTCATCGTTATTTCGAATTGAAAGTCAAACTCTTTATCAGCACAGTTGAACAGAAAAGTCATACCTGCTTAGAGAGGCATCGATAGATTTCCTGCCAGCCAAGTTGATGCGCATCCGAGAAGGATTTTTAGGAACAAACAGTGCTCGGCACAAATGGACGACACAGATAATGCTCTTCCAAACCTTCATGGCTTGGAACGACTGCAACGTAAAAGTATCATCATTCACCAGCTCGGGTCCGATTCTAGTCCAGTATAAGCTTTTGTCATCAACGAACCTTCCATATACAAAGAGGCATGAGAAAAGAAAGACACCTTAAATGAGGTGTTACGCCGAAAAGCACGACATATAACCTCGAGTATAGTTCACGGTCCCAGTAAACAAAGCAGTGCGCTAGAGTTCATTACTCTAATTCATAAACTTCCTTTCTTGCTAGGTCTGACTTTAGAGTATGGAGTATTGTTAAAAAGTACTTAACACTGCCGATCATATCATAAGACGTACCAGCTCAGAATTAGGATAGGTTTGTACTCTAAATATTATTTTACTCAAGTATGAAGAAGTCCGAGTCTCATTAGTTTCGGAAATTAAATACAGTAAATTTTAAAACTGTCCATAAAAATCTGTGTCGAGAAACTTCGCTGTGCGGCTGATCATTTGCGGCACTTTTTTTTTAAAAGTCGACTCCGAAAACACCAGTTTACTCTTCTTTATGAAAAGGTAAAAACTTCTACGGTGATCTTGGCCGAAATTCTTAAATATGCAATTAACCTTTTAGAATGTGAAAGAGTGATAATAATCGTAATGTATCTCAATATTACCGGCAATTTAACAGCTATTACTTAGGTCATTTGCGGTTTCTTTTTTCATTTAAATTAATAGTGCAATTCTATAAGTTTTGACACTGTTCTCGTTTTTCAGGCCTATTGATCGGTTCGGTCATTTTATGTTTTACGTCTTTCTTTCAATAATACCATGATTCGTCTTCTTTTTTTAAGGCTTGTTGGCTTTTTCCTTTGTATTAAAACATATTTAATAACGCGAATTCTAAATTTGCAGCCAATTAAACTGTTTTGCTGATCAAATAGAGTGCTAAATGTGGTAAAAAATAACCGCTTACTTATAATAAGTGACAAAAGACCCTCAAGGTTAAATTCAGTCGATGACATCTTTTACTATTTTACAAATTTCGAAAGTTAGAAATAATTTCAGCCCAGAGTAGGACAAACGCAGATAAAAACGTCTCTAAATTTTTTTAATGTCAACGTTTCTTTTTGTAAATCCCAGAATTATGTTTTATAAACTGTCCTTGTTTTAAATGATAACTGAGAGCGTGTGTGCTCTATGGCTTCGGTATTTTATCTCCCAGGCTCTCCCTTGCATCGATTTACAGCTGTGTATCACGTCAGCCTGGCAGTTATCCAAAGCGAAGCGAAATATGCCCACAAATTATCATACCGAACTAAACCAAGGTGATAAAAAGGGAGACGTTTCTTTAATCAATTCATCAGTTCATAGGAATTAGGAATAACATTTCGACGTGAGGATTGAAATTGATGTGCCAGTAACGGATTACTTGATATAAAGGAGAGACGATTTTCCCCCTTTTCAATTAGACTTTATCTCGCATGGTAAAAGAGAACACATGGAGCGAAGAGCAGAGCGCTTTTCACCGGCTTGTCATCTGCTCTCACATGTAAAGTGAACCTCACAACGAAGATAAAAAAGTATCAACTTTGATGATCATAACATTACAAAATATTGTAAATCAATGCAAGGAAATCACGACTTGGGCATTCATTTTGATACGCGCGCCAAGATTGATTTCTAAAGCAAAGGCTGAGAAAACAATTCAAAAAATTTTCTGTACACTGTGGTTTAAACAAATTAGAACTGCCAAATTAAAGTCAACAAAAGTGACTAAAGCGGGCACGACGGATATTGCTCTTCATCACCTGTGACAAGTTTTAACCAATTTTCAGTTTCTTAAAAAGGCGAAGTGTCATACATCAAATAACGCTTCATTAAAACGTTCTTAAATTGTTAATTATCTAAAGGCTTCCGTTCAATATCGTTTGAAACCTTTGCTGAATAATCGATAGATTTCGTTCAAATTTTCTCAGGGTTCCTTAAAACAATTTTTTAAAAAAAAAATCGTCCGTGCGACTTTCAATGCTGGCATCATCTGGCTGCGAGTTTTAATTACTTCGATCAATGGAAACCGATATTTATTCCATGTCTGGGGTTCGAAAGACTTTTAAAGTCTTTAAAAGTGATATTCAATTTACCCAGCATTAATCACTTTCTAATTGTTATTGGGCTATTTAGCTAAAACAAGTTCCTTTTGTTCCACAACGTGTGGACAAGGAAAACAATAGGCTGCTATCTTAAAGATATTATACGTGGAGTGCACTGGTGTCAGAAAAGAGCCGTTTTATCCTGATTTTGAGCCACAAAGTATACAAACAGCGTTTGTCATGCAAATTTCTTTCTGAAAGCTTTCTCTAAAATGTAACCTCGAGGTTCTTTTTTTTTTTGGTATCACGAGTCAGCCGTTTGACTTCACGGACAAACAAACGGTCTTTAAGGACAGTTCCACAACATTAAAATCGCTACTTTGGCTTTATTTACAGATTTTTGAAGCCTCTACTAACCACACATGAGCAAAGGATACTCGTTAATCTGAACCTCAATTTTTGGGGACAGTATCTAAAAGCTTACAAAATTATTTTTGTTAAGGGCTAGTGAACAAACCTCGATTTATCTTTTCATCTTTGACTGACAAAACTGATAAAAAAAAAAAAGCTGATAACAAAACGCCCCCGAGAAAATGCTGTGAGTTAACTCATTTGCAATCATGTTAAAAGTATTGATAATAAGTGAGCGAATAAATAAAAACTTACACACAGCTCTTTACATCTTGTGTGCTGTTGTAAAAATAACATCCAGGCAAGTTCTCAGTTGGATTGAAATGATAGTAAACTGTGCGACTCGAAACTGAAACTAAAATGAGCATCGTCCTCCTTTCTTTAATGTTTTGCCTCAAGCTTCAATCAAACGAAAACTAAGCGAGAAGCGTTCTTTGAAACTCAAGTGAATTATGTTTTTGGCCTAAAAACGTATCATTTAGGATTCACATTAAAAAATTAAATTACAAAAGTTGTGCGCGGGAAAACATACAAGATTTCAAGGAACACGCCATCATACGACTATATTGCTACTGCTAGATGTTGATACTTCAATGGAGGGGGTGTGCATTACTCAATTCAGTGTGCCAACTGGATGTAGAACTGTTCGGATACATCCTATTTCGGAAAGAGAAAAACTGCCTTTCATTTTGAAGAGGGATATTTGTCTCATATTAGCAATCTATGTGCCCACCGAGAAATACGTTAAAACTGAAAAGTAATGTAGTAAAGTAAAAATAAGAGGTACTTTAATCCCGTGTCGCGCGACAGTTTCCACAAGAAATCAGTGCAAAAGAGGACAGGTGTTACATACGAATTAGCATCTTACTTATTTGCTGCTAAAACGTTGAAAACAGGTCATTTTCAAGAAACTTCATCGCCCTTTGTCTCGACTCCAAAATAATGAAACGGGAGAAAATATCAAAAATGGGGTGGCAGCATTACTTGGGAGAGGTAGGGAGATACGGTTTTGGACGCGGTAAAAGTAATTATTCTCTTTCTATTAAACAGCAACATTGCTATTCAAAAATATGTAACAACAAGATTGAAAAACCCTCAGTTCTTTAAAGGATTTAACTCTTTTTTTCGTCTTGCAGAAAGGGTTCCAATTTTGAATAAAAATGTCGTGGCTACCGCAACAACTTTTATGTCCTTACACGTTTGGTAACTACAACAGCCAAAAGGGGAAAAAAAAGAAGAAAAATAACCGGCAAACGTGTTTCACTAAAACGACAGACAATATTTCCGCAGTGTTGATCGTTTTTTAACGGGAAGGCGCTATGAAGAAAAGAAAGACGTTTTAATAATTGCAAGTCCTACTACAATCACAGAGAAGATTAAAGAAATTTTGTCCTAAAATCTGAACCCTTATCTTCAGTTTCAAAAGATACATTAATAGAGGAAAATTCGCTTAAATTCCATGCACAATGCGAAAGCTACCAAGACATTAAAATGGCGATCTCTGGGAACCCGTCATCTGTTATGCTTAGATTAAGACTAATTTCTAAGTTTGTTTGCTCACGTTCGATAAAACTGACTTGAGTACACGGAATAAAATCTGTCCGAGTTGTTATTTTTTCACTGAACCTTTCTTTGAAATACATAAATTGGTAGTAAAATTATTTGCATTTGGGCACTAAAGAGTGTGTGCTTTTACGGTTGTGATTTCGGCGTGAATCAAAACAAGTACGTTTGTGTCATAAAGATGACTTACTATGTCAGGTAACTAAGTTAAACTTCCATGTTTTCAGACGTTTTGTTGGCCCGGGTCTTTACGCTAAGTCAATAACTGTAACAAGAGATTGTGATAATTTTCACCGGTTGTATTGAAAAACGACCTCCTTTGTCTTCACAGCCTGTATTGTTTCCCGCTCTATTAATCTTCGCTAACTACCCGCAGAAACGAAAGAATATTGAATAACGAGGGGATTACTATATGTATTCTGAATCATGCCGCAAAATATCAAAAACACCACCACAAGTGCTATTTGCACCGCTCCAGTTTGACCGTGACGATGGATCGAAAAACAAAACAGCCCTGAAGTTAAATTCACTCCTTGGTTGTTTTTCTTTCACAATAGCGCAGCAGTCTAAGTCCCCTTATGAAGCATTCCTCGTTTCAACAGAACAAAAATGACTTTTCTTTGCCCGATCGGCTCATGAGCTTAGTCGGTTTGAGAGTAAAATTAAGTGAAGCCATAGAAAAGAAATGCATCCTTAAGCTAAATGGAACAATTTTCGAATGAATAGAAGCTTTCAATATTTTTCAAATTAGTTGAAGTTTTTCTCGAGTGTAGAAGGTGCGATGTGTTGTCATACAAAAAGAGAAGAAAAGAGGGGCGAAATTCTCTCCACCACATGCTCTAAGAAACTTGTAGGTCCATTAATAAGTTGAAGACGTACAGTGCTGATTAGGCCTCTGTTCAATTTAGAAGTCACCTTCTTCTTAGCCTCGGTGCTAATGAGGTAATCAGTACGAGTTTACCAAGTGTCGATGCTTTGTTTCCTATCAGGAGGCGTTTTTATTCCCAGGAAAGGTTTTTAGATTCCGAAAAGTTTTTTGGAAAGGAAAGGTAAAGCGACGTGTTTCAAAAGTATACCGCCATGTAATTTGCATACACAATCAAACCTTGTGTCTACTTACTCTCTTTCCCTGACAGTTTAACTCTTTGCTTGTGTGTGCTTCGGTTATAATAATGGTAACTAGTTTAAAAATTAAAGAGCTAGAAATATCAGTATACCTGTAGACTTGGTTTATTTTGTGAGATTTCTTTATTACAACAGTGGTTGTTTTAAGACGCGATTCACAGCCTCGTCAGTATGTAACTTTCTGTTTGCAAAATGTAACACCTAAGACAAACAGCCTTATGTCGTCAGTAGCAATCACCTTCGCTGCAATTTTGAATTTAGGGAATCATTGGGCAAATAGCGGTGTAAAATGCATTACGTTTCATCGAATCTGGTCTATCCTTTTGTTATGTGGTACAAAAAGTTTATTTACTTCTGTTTTCTATGGAAGTAATAAAAATTGAACCTCGGATGTCTGTGAAACTTATCCTCCGTCCTATCATCCTATCCTCGCATACTAGGCATTACGCACAATAGAACTTCCACAAAAACAAAGCACAAAACTGAGTAATTATTAGGTTACCCTACTTCTCTCTTTTCCTTGACGAATTACTCTCCACAAATAAATAATCAGTTCACTCTCTAGTCTTAAATGTTGATAGAAAAAGTATGCAGAGGAAATATGTTTATATTAAAACAAATTACATTTCTGATGCTTTCTGTCAACAGCAAATTTGGAACGAAAAGATGAACGGAGCGACTGTGAATAAGGCTTGGAGAGAGAATTTCTTGCCAGTAGCCCCACCTGAGTTTTCATGTTTGCAAACTTAGACAGACTAATTACCTTTATTCACCCGCTCTCTGCTTCTAGATACGATCTTCCTTAACTACATATTCCTTTCAGAGAGATATGATCCATGCAATAAAAGTAAGACTGAAATTGGAAAAATATGTACCAAAAAAGCGGAGGTGAAGTCAATCAAACAGTACAAAAGCATTTTAGAACGTTATTCCAAACCTTCAGAGTATTCAGCGAAAAATCGGTTTCCGTTGCGTGCTTTCATTCGGTTTGGACTGTAGTTTCAAGTGTCGATCAATTCACTGTTTAAGGAGGAGGGGAACATGTTTAAGTTTAATTTTTTCACTCGCACATTAATAGGAAACGAATTTCCCTGTCGCTAAAATAACTCTTCACAATTCCATGGGATATCAACAGATTTCGAAGCTATGAATTCATTACCACTCTACACTACGAAGCAGAGATTGCAAACGTAAGTACACTGGCGGAAATGAGGTTCAAATCCCTCCTTAATTGCTCTTTACATTTCACGTATCCCTCATCAACGAAGATTGTTCTCTTTGATAGATTATATTTCGGAATGGAAATTGAAAATCCAATTTCCGACTTTCTGATGAGAGAAAATGTGTTAATGGATTTAAGAGACAAATATCTTTCACCTCTGAATTTAATGATGTTACAGACAAACCGAAATTAATTTCCCAAATCTGATCAGGCATAGCTTAATATTCATTCACTCCAACGAGGAATCGTTCGAGCGTCAGCATTTGCTGAGCAAAATTAGTTAAGAAAAACAACGAGAGAAGAAGATATTTACATTACTTGGCTGGCCGTTTTGATCAGCTTTTTCCTAATGACAATTAAAATAAGAAATGGCTAAAACTCAGCGTGTTAAATAATTGGGACTAAACGACTTTCGATTCTTCATTTTCGCTAACATGTAAAAAATTTTTAATCAATTCAATTTCACTAAGAATAAAATAAGGATTCCAGATTTATTTTATTTCATCCCTTAATTATCAAATATCCACTATCAAAAACAAGCGCTGTAATGAGATGAGCAGTTCGTGCGCCGTTTTAACCGACTTTCACTCAAGCGTTTTCTAATATTTTTGTTTAACTAAATGAAACGCGTTTTTCTGGCGAGGAAAAATCTATTGTGAACTTATGAATTTCAGTCTTGGAGAGAAAATAGGAAAGAGCGCAAAAAGGCGCGCATGCGCAAATGCGTCGCTAGTTTTGGTATTATAAGAGCTCCATCTGGTTTGTTCACTTGCTGTCTCACACATTCCCTTCAAATCATCACAACATCCAAAGATAACAGCTTCTAAAGTCTCCATCAGCCTGTGACAGATAGCACAAGTCAAGATAATAGAATATACTTTGATAAGCAAACTTTCGTGCAGCGGTAAACTTGCAAAACAGGAAAGAGCAACGTTTTGGGGATGTGCTTTTCAATATGAAAATGTATCAAGTACTGATTAAGGAAAACGTGATGTAAAAACAAAAAAATAACAAACCGGTCTAGTTTGTGTCCGCTAACGGAAATGGACTGACTTACGTGATACATTTGAAACACGACACGATTCACATTAGAGAAATTTTCCTATTTGGCATTTGTGAACGTAGCTATTACAGGTCAATGAAATATTTCGCCGACTTTAATTTCTCGAGAACAATTCTGTTTTGACAATGTTGTACTCAAAATTAAACTTTTATTCATCCGTTTACCGACGTACAAAATATTGCGTTGATGGGTGGAAAACTGAAAAAAGGGAGCAATTTCCGGCCGGTGAGGGCCGAGGGTGACTTTTACCAATGCGAATGAAATCAAGGGTCGATCAGAAGGAAGATTTTAATTTGTGAAGGACAGATGAATCGGTAATTTTTCTTGACGGATACGTGCTGCGCTGAGAAGGAATTGTCGCCTGATAAACAGATTAACAGTAGTTAATTACTTTTTATGTACCAATCAGATAATTTACCATAGTGGCAAGGGGACTAAACAAAGGATTTTTAAGAATTTCGGGGTTGAGTAACAATTTTGAGATTTCACTGCGGTCTGTAAAGCAAACAATGCAATATAACACGAAAAAAATTAATTTCTAGATGTATACGATCATTTGGCATTTTAATGAGAAATCCTCCGCGAATCGAATGTTTCATACTCGCCTGAGGAAGTCAAGCAAATAATCATATTTCCACCCAGCAAATTTCGAAAAGCTTTTTTCTTTTTCTTTATCATAAAGATGAGAAAAGAGATATGCTTCTGACGCATTTGTCATGTAGAAATGATGTCTTTTTCAGTGTCATCATACTTAGAAATAAACTGCTTTTTTAATATGATTGAATCTTTTGGATCAGATTATTATTTGTTTAAGCGGGGGTTCGCCTAAAACACACTGTTGAATAAAAGTACAACGTATAAAACAGAAATATTATTATTGTGGTTAGAAAAAAATGGCACTATATATTGTATCCAATTGATTTGCACAAACAAAATTGAGTTAACATTTGGCCCATCTCTTTATTAGACTGTAACGAGTGTTAAGGGGATTTGAAAGGATCTATTCGAACTTTCATAAAATTAATTACATGGCTTTGAGTCGGTACATCAAACTTTTATTCTTTACTTTCTACATTGAGCCGAAGTATGCAATTTTTCCCTTTCACTTTCACAAACCATGTCCTTCTTATCGTCGTGCATAATAAATTAAGGTGATGGGCTGCCTAAACCCAAATGATTGACTGTTTTGATCTTTTGCTCTTTGATCTGGCGTGGAAAACGAAAATCTGTAGCAGATGATAGTATTTCTTCCATCAAAGAAAAGTTAATATAGAAAATTACATAAAACGCCTAAATCTTTTGTGCCAACAATAAAGGAGTAAAGGTGCTGTTTATATTCAATACATCATCCAGAAAATGGTACATTTCGATCAAGTGCAGTAAGCCGAATCACACGTCTCATACTACAAACGCTAACAACAATCGATTGTACAGCAAGCTGTGACTAATACTGTCCTAAGGAGCACGATTCATGAACAAGGTGACAGAGTATGAGGCAAAACAGTCGAATAGGGGGTGCGAAATTTAGGGGTGTATCAGAAATTGGTGCAGGAGGGGTAATTAGATTAAGGCAGACCTACCTAGGGCCTCACGTGGGTTGAACAATTTAGCCACCATCTGTTGACTATTTAGTATTCTATTAGCCATAAACGACAGATGGCAACTGCATGCTAGAATCCCATGTGAAACGTTCCACAAAGAAGAGCGCTGCGGTTCGCGCAAGATTTGTTGTATTCTCTCTCCACTTGGCCCCATTGCTTAGTCTTGATTTGCAATGTGACTCTATTAATAACCTAAACACACAGCTGTGGTGCTGAGAGAAAAAAATGCTGCTGATTTAATTTGATTTTAAAAAGATTTAAATGGGTATAAATTCTGAGTGAACAAGAGAAGTTAAACACTCATTGAAGGGTGATCACTCGGTGCGAGCAAGCATCAACTCACATTCGAAAGAAAACTTGACCGCAGGATAATTACTGTTGAAACTTCTGACCACAAGGTATCAAACTCCAGATCGAACAACGCAATTTGTTTAAAACACAAATGTGCTAAACTACCAAACACTTAACTGTTTTAGGCTGCTCTACGATTTAACGTCTCGAAAGTCAAAACAAGGACGAGAAAAAGAAGCCTTATCGCGAAGGAAATGGCACATCTCGGTAGGTACATATTGCGCACTTTATAAGCAACTCCAAGGTCTCATTTTCACTCTACCTTCAAGCTTCCATCTCTTTGTATTTAAAGTTACAAGCCAAGGTGAACCCGTGGTTGTCTTTTCTAGTCTGATATTGTGAGTCAATTTACTAGTGAGGTAAGCACCAAGCAACTTTAAAATTAGAAGCAAAAATTGAACGAGGCTATGCAGCTAACTTGAGCTGTGTTACTAATATACGTGTAAGAGAAATATCTGTTATATTTCCCTACATTCTCAAAGCGTGTTTCAACTAGTTTCCTCCGTTAAACAAGCTAAGCTCGAGCGAAGGGAAATTTTAATCTTTTCTTCCACGTCCTCGTGTTTTGTACACAAACGCTTCTTCGACTTTTGTTGCCCCCAGCGTGGTCTCAAAACTAACGCATTGTCTGGCAAACATAAATATCCGTACACATAACAGCAATTTGAAAATGAGCATTTCAAATTCTCCCACATTTCTTTCTCCGTGGAAGATTCTGTACGTTGTTTGTACAAGTCTTTTACACTGCCCGCTTGCGGAAAAGCAGGTTCAGTCTCGATACATACGCCGTCACGCCTTTTCAATAGAAGCATTCTCCCTTTTCAATACCTGTGTATGGTTAAATAAACGTATTTTGTTTAAATCTTTCATTGTAATTCAATCTTTCGTGAATGGATTCTTACTGAAAGACGACGTTTCTATGCGACAACGAAAAGGATACAGATCAAAAGCTTTCTCCGGAACATTGATTTAAACGGGACGGTCGCGACGAAAAAAAACTATGAACTACTTAACATACATCAAGGTTATAGCAAACAGTCATAACAGTATCTTTCTACGCATTTAAAAATTTCTCATTAAGCTTTCGCAGTAAGAGGCATCTTCACTAAGCATGAGATCGTAGCAGCGATAAAAATTTAGAAAGAAACAACTGTTCAATTACATAAGGACGGGCTGACCTTCCTTTAATAACTGCAGTGCACTTGCACGAAAAGTGAAACGTTCAACTTAAGGTATTGTACTACTTACATTATAATAATAATGAAAATCAGATTTAAAGACATCCTTTCTCTTGTAAAATTCGCAGCCCCCTCAGCGATATGAAATATTAAAATCCTCTTCACTCCCTCAGGCACCATAGTATGGCGTTGAAAATTGCCTGTATGCAGGATAGATTTTGGCGCGACGTTAGAATGTTTGTATATTGCTCCTTGTTGTTATTACCCCATTTGTGTGTTTAATTAAGCACGGGCCATCAAAGATGATTTACGGTTTCTTAATTGTTGAGAAAACTAATTAACTGACCACTGCGAGAGAAAATAAATGTTAAACGAAAAGCAATTTACCTCAACACGGTCTAGATTCTCATTAGGACGTGCTAAAGCTTCGGAAAAGGAATAAAGGAAGTTACGAAAGACATTTTGAATTCATAAGTAAATTAAAAAACTATTAGGTCGTTTGAATTTTTCATCGCAGAAGCGTTTGCAAGAGGATTCCAGTTTTAAAATAAACTTTTTCTTCTCTCAATTCTGTCACGTGAAAGACTCATCATAACAACACAAGTAGTGTTAATTTCATGGTTTTTAATTCAAAAAATCTGAATTGTGCTCGCGAAGCCTGAGGTATATAAGACAGGAATTGGTGAATCAGAAATTCATTTACACTCATTCTTATTTATTTTAACGAGTTCAGTAAACATTGGTTGCCTTACATCTTGCATTACTATTTCAAACCATGATGCACTAAAAAGTCTCTCTGACCATTTTTTTCTTTTTTTAATGACAGTGTTCGGTGATTGACACTTTTGGTTAGCATGCTTACGGCAATTCCGGGATGTTTTTAATCCAATAAATAATCCGCGAAATTAATGTGGCTAGAAAAATGATATTATTAATGAAGAAATGAAAGGCATGTACGTTTTACATCAGTCCTCGAGTAATATGCAAGTATCTCAAAATTTTTCATCGCCATGGTGAGTCTTAAACAGATTAAAAGAGAAAAAAAAAAAAGAACAGCGAGAAACTAACGATCGTGTGTCTCTAAATATTGCCAAATACTGATCCTATCTTTTTCCTCTCTTACTTGATTGGTAAAAAGCTGAGTTGGCGTTAATCAGATAAAATTAAAAGTTAGAAAGGCCTCTAATGAACAGGTGAAATATTGAAGGTATCATCTCAGTAACGACCAACCAGCCATGGTGAGATATTCACTTTAAAGTTATTTCGTATAGCAGTCACAGAGTACAGCCTGAATGTGCAATTCCTGGGAATGTGAAGCTTTCCCTCTCGTCAATCCTTTGTAAAAACTATTTATTTCTTCATGATTAAGGTATTTACTTGGTTTGTTATTCTCTACTTAGTATTCCCTAATATTTATTCAATGAGCATTGTTTTTTTACCAGACCTATTAATTAATATTTTACTATTTTTCTCCTTATTTGAATTATTCAAGACGAGTTTTCTTCATACTGCTTCGTAGAAACACATTTCCAAACATTTTCCAAACATATGTGAAACGTATGTTTGCATAAGTAAGCATGAGTTTATAGCCTTTTGGCCATAAGCAGTTTTGCAATAGTCCTTTCGGTGGGCTTACACATTAAAATAAAAGACAAAGAAATATTTACATTTGCAGATATCGTTTACTTACCAGCACTTCAACTTTTGTGTACTCCATTACGTGACAAAAATCTAAAGACGAGTTACGTGACAGCACTGGTAAATTGTACTTGGGACTCGTGGATTATTAACTTCGCTCTATTGACAATGATAATTTTTCCAGTAATAATTTTGGTCCACCTCTCCTCGTCTTCAGTTTAGATAACATGGCTACTCTTCAAGAAGTCCTCTGGAAAAAGGAGTCACCGAAAAAATACTTCAAAAGTTTATCAAAACAACATTGGTAGCCACGTTGTGAATGTATTTCCTTGGTTAACCATTCCTTCGTCACGGTTAACGAGCACAAATATGCTTGAAAAACGTATACAAACCTCCCTAATTTCTCTTTTATTCATTTCTGCGAAGCAATAGCTTAAAAGAAGATTTTCTCGTCCACAACAGCTAAACCTTTGACTGTCGTTATCTGCATCTGTATAGCAATTTTGTGATGATGAAAGGTCACGTCACAACTCGACGCTTACATCCCGTGGATTTCCCGCCAAAACTAGCCGCTAATTCGTCACCATTCCCACTAGGAATGTTTTTTGACAGCTACAGAAAAGGACGAAATAGGCAATTTTGCCACTTTAAAAAGCTAATAACGTGTAATGTCCATCTCTTCAAATTTCATATGTTCAGAAAAAAAGGCAAGAAGGAAAAAAAAACTTAAGTCTCTCTTAGTTAGAAATTTGACAAATCAAAACCTTATCTTTGTTCTCTTTATAAATTTTTCTTCGGCAGCGCCTTTTCTTTTTCAAAGTCATGGAGGGATTAATCAGCTTGGAGGACCCTTTGTAAACGGTCGACCTCTCCCAGATTACATTCGTCACCGTATCGTGCAACTTGCAGCCTGTGGGGTGCGACCGTGCGAGATTTCTCGCCGTCTGTTGGTTTCTCATGGCTGTGTCAGCAAAATCTTGGGCAGATTCTATGAGACAGGTTCCATTCGTCCAGGATCAATTGGAGGAAGCAAACCAAAGGTCGCTACTCCTCCGGTCGTAAGCAAGATTGTTCAGTACAAGCAACAAAATCCCACCATTTTTGCGTGGGAAATTCGGGATCGCCTTGTCGAAGAGGGCGTCTGTGATCGGGAAAACACTCCAAGCGTCAGTTCCATCAATCGCATCCTGAGAAACAAAGCTGCAGAAAGGGCTGCACAGTACGCAATGATTGAGCGTGAAAGACAACATTTGGCAAGTATATATGGCTTCCATCCATGGTCATCCATTTGTGACCCGAGTGTTCCGTGGTCTTGTCACGCTTTGCCTCAGCATGAAGATTTTTCACATCATGAGTACGAGAGACGGGGCATGGAACCTGCCCCTAGGATGTCACTCATGGCACCGTCAGAGAGTAGCAACAGTCACCAGGAGCACAGCGAAGGTAATTTAAAAGTGTGATTGCACGAATCAGGCTATATGAGACAAAAATATAATTAATAAGATGTTGATGTATATTCGCAACTAAACGAAGGTGTAAAACAACTCCTTCTTCTCTTCCCCCCCCCCCCCCCCTCAAAAAAAAAACATAACTCACATCTAGATCTTCAATTGCATGAACTACCCAATGGTTGCGTGTGCATTCAAACCAGTTGCGTTGAGCTTGAGCCCGCGATCAGAAAACGTCACCTCGTTCAAATTTTTCCCGAAAATTACGAAAATAAACTAAACCAACTGCCTAGAGAATCCATCAGAATTTCCACACTAACTTTACTGTTTCTTGTGCTTTGACGAATTTTCAGTGAGGCTGAAAGAGGAAAATGACGAGGAGCAACGCGAGTCGCAGTACGCTACCAAAGAAAGAGAGGTCGTTAAAACAGAAAGAGATAAACCAATTCTTCACCGAACTGACATTGAGAATGATCATGAAGACGACCTGGATGAGTTTGAAACTAACATCCAAGAGACCAGCTTCCTTGATGACAACACTTTTAACAGCAAAAACATCAACAACAACAACAACAACAAAGACAACGAAAACGACACCCCTGAAACAGACAGCAAAAATTTCAATAACAATTCAGAAAATACCTGCTACAACAGTGGAAGTGAAAGTGGCAAAGATGAAAACGATTCCCAAGCAAATCAGAAAAGAAAAATACGAAGAAACAGGACAACATTTTCTCCCGAACAGCTGGAGATGCTTGAGAAGGAATTTGAAAAGTCGCATTACCCAGACGTAGCTACGAGAGAGGAGCTTGCAAATAAGATTGAAATGTCGGAAGCCCGTGTACAGGTTAGACTGAATCCTTTTAAAACATAACTGTAACTGTCCTTTTTCTCTTTAGATCTCATTAGTAACTGTTCTTCTTATTGTCGGTCATACAATTTTTATAATGATAATTCGGAGGACTTGGTATTGGATCTACGAATAATCCCCTAGTCTGAAATTGTTCTCTATTCTCATCACTTGTCTGTTTAAAATAGTATTGATATTGTAAGGATAAATTCTGCTTTGCTCACTCATGGGAGTTTTAGGGGAAAGTCTAACTGTCCAAAATATTTTTCAGATTATCTGACAGATTGCAACATGTACAAGAGAATCACATTGGAACGCTCTGCCAATATGCAGAACTTTCTAATGAAGCTATTCATTTCGTTCTGCATTTGACTTAAATGCACAAGCAACTACTCAGTAACTCTGCCACTCACAAGATATTTTGCTTGTTGCTTTTCAGGTCTGGTTCTCCAATCGTCGAGCCAAATGGCGTCGTCATCAGAAAATTAATAGCTTACCGCACATACGTCATTCACTGTTGGGTGGATGTTACCCTATGTGCACAGAATGTGACATGGCTGATCAACAGTGTACCATGATACCTGGTCCTTACAGTCCGCCGATGAACTCTCTAAGCCTTCTGTCACCGAACGCTGACCGAATAAGTTCATCGTCAACTTCCATATTAGGAGGCGAAAATGCTGTGAGATCTTGTTCACCCAAGGACTGCACTTGCTCGCGAGTTTGAGCTTGACTTTTTGTTAAAAATAAAATAGAATGGTGCTCCTATTTTGTAAATAGCTTCCAGGGGTTTTTCAGGTTTCTATGGTAATATTAGAGAAAATGTGTGCGTTTGGTTTTGTGATTTTATGGACAGCCTGATGATGCATTAGGTTTGCGATATCAGATTAATGTAAATACCAGGACGAAAAATAAAGCATTTCATTCCAAGTATGATTACGAAATTCCATTGAAAATTTCGCTTATGAGATTTTCAAAGCGTGATACCAATTTATCCTAGACTAGTGTTTGTGATTCTTGTACAGAAATAAAGGGAATAAAAACTATGAAAATTTTCACACGTCTTTTGAAGTGTACGTTATTAATTTCCTTCGAGCAGCAGCGTTTCGCGGAGCCGCGAATAGTGTCAAGATCATGGACGCCTTGCCATAAAACTGTTCTTTGGCGCTTTAATTTGTCATAAGATATACAAAATTGTTTTAAAGGGTGTTTCAATTGAATTCAGTGAGGCCACCGTCTCCATTCTGTGGGATATCAGCACATTGACTCAACAACAACGTACAGCCTGTTGTCGGATCATATGCGGATAATGATATAGATATTGGTGCCTCTAATAACTGAAAACGCAAATGGGCAAATGATAGGTAAATTCTTGCTACCTCTTGCTTGATTCCTCCAATTTCGAGTTTCATGCAAAATCACCAAGAAAATTAAAGAAGTGTAACAGGTTGATCAGTGGCGCAAAATTTACAAAAAATTATAGAGGAGACTGTTCATGATCTATCGACTACCCCCTAGGTCGAAATTTCCCTAAACCAACATTCTCCTGCCTTCAAAGTCTACTATTGTGGCCAATCATTTCGTATGGACACCTTCACCATAGCCTATTTTGCCTGCTGTTGCCTTACCCTCCATTTCTCACTTGAAGGTGAGGCCGATGGTAACCTGGGAGCGAATCCTTAATCCATCATGGCGGGTCAACAGATGGAAGTCGTAGTTGGGACCTATGAACAAGTTTTGGTCGGATTTGACGTTGTCGATGGAGAGGAAGAGCTTGAGGTAACTTTCACATGCTTAGAATTCCACAGAGAGAAGATTTAAATAACAATTGAATTATTTTTGTGTTCATCGTCGAGCAGTATAGACTAAAACCGATCTTCGCGGAGAAAGAGCATGCGGGTTGTATCAAATGTGCCGCTAACAATGGCCAGTTTCTCGCGACTGGAAGCTCAGATGAAACGATAAGGTGAGTTAATACCATAATTAATTTTCAAATGTTAAGAGGGAGAAAAGATCAGAACAAGCACTTGAAGTAGACTGCTGATCAGAGGTAGGTTCTAAGACCTTTGTTCCTCATGCTCTTTTCCATGGTGTAGCACCCAAGAGGAGAAACAGCTCTTCACCCTACAGGTCAACAATGGAACAACAATACCTGGTACACCATACTTACCAAGATAATATTAAGGAAAGATGAACAACTTTGTTACCGTATAGAAAATCAAGTCTAATATAGAAAATCAGCCTGTGAGGCCAAGGCCATTTTTTTGAAAACTCACTACTTACACAAGCCTCTCAAGTTTATAAAAGTTTTCATACGTTGCATAATTTTCCTTCAAATTGCACCATGTGCTTGCATTATGTTGTTTAAATTACGTCATTGTAATTACCAGACTTAAAAATTATGAGGAAAATTAAAACAAAATGGTAAACAAGTGTTCCACTTCTTTTTACACTGACTTAGATTATACAATCTTAAGGATCACAAAGAGCTTGGTGCCTTAATGCAGCATGAGGGTATGTAGAAATGATTGAAAGCATTTTAAAGGTTTTAAAAAATTGCTAGCTCCTAGTTAAATCATGATCTTCAAGGTTTTTGTATGGTGTCGTAGCAAAAGTGGACGGCCCCCTATTGAAAATTTTGTTGTAATACAGTTCAATTCCTTCAATCAACTGTAGCTACTGAATGGAATTCATTTTATGATCAGGGTTGTAAAAATAAGGTGGCATTGGGCACATTTCACTATCTACTCTGAGAGATGCATCAGTTACTCCTGGGGAGTGGCATTGAACCCTTATGCCATGTATTCTATATCACAGTCTGGTCACTCAAAACCTTTCTGACAATCCTGTGTAATGTATAAAAGTAAACATGCCTTCTTTCTGTGAAGTCACTTGGTGTTAGTGTGTAGAATTATAACGCCAAAGCAAACTTTAGAAAGCCTTTTATATGTAATGTTTTAAAGGGAATGCTGTTTAATACATGTCATTAATATATTTCTACAACTTGATAGGATATTCCTTTGATTCTTAAGGCAAAAAAGAGGCAAAATCTTGCATTTGCTTGCTAATTCATTAACAGTTGCCATATTGCAAATTCTCCCCTCCCACTGTCAATGGCCTCAGCTGTTGCATTTTCCCCCACCACCTTGGTCATTTTCATATTGTCACTAAGTCATAAGTATTGGTTAGTTTCATGTACTTGTTTTGTTATCCTCCAATGGAACAAAGCTCATAAAGAAAGAATGATACATGCACATAACTATTTGGTTTGTTTATTCTTAATACTCCTTTTGTTTATCATAGGCACAATAACATGTTTGACATTTCATAACAGTACTCATATGCTAAGTGCTAGTGAGGACAATACAATTTGTGTTTGGGAATGTCGTACATGGGAATGCCTTAAAACATTAAAAGGTCACAGGTAAATGTTTCTCAAAGTTGCTTCCACCTACATTTAGTCTCTACTGTACTTGGTGTAAGGCCAAGATAATTCTAAATTGTGTAAATGATTATTGATAAGTGTTAAATTGTGTAATAAATGTTAAAAAAGTTCTTAAGTCAAAGGAAACAGTTCATTTCTAACCTTTTCTGAAGACCTGAATAAATATATGATGAATTGAAGTCCAGGCCTTCACATTGTGTAGACCAATGCTTTAGCACTGAGTTAATATGAACTCGATGTAGCAACCAATGTCAGCTATTTTCAGTGACTGGGCTCCAAAATTTGCAATCTTTCTTGTTCTGTTTCTTGTCCAAACCTTTACTAATGAGCAGTCAAAGTCTTAAACTTCAAATTTACAGTACAAGGATTTTTACAGAAACTTTGACCTAGTGAAGGAGAAGTGAAAATTGATCCTCCATATATTTTATTACCTTCAAAATTTAAAACAAAAGGGCATAATTCACCTTCATTAATCATGATAGCTCTGTAACTAATCATGGTACAATTGTCTGTAAAGCAATGATTTAATGGAAAAAATTTATACTTTTCCCAGGGGCCATGTAAATTCAGTTTCCGTACATCCCTCTGGAAGACTGGCTCTCTCTGTTTCTAAAGACAAAACATTAAGGTATTGTATTAAAGTAAAACAGATATTATCACTTTATTTGACTTACAAATTGCATCAAGACAACTTTCTAAGTATACTTGTAACTCTCAAGTAAGTCATTACTAGGCCTTGGTAAAGTTTTGGTATCTCCAAACAATATTTCCTTTTATCTCTTTATTTTAACTAATGCTTTTCCAATAAAGAGTCAAGGAACCTTTACTATGAAGATAAACAAAATTGATATGATATTCCTTGGATGCCACTGATTTCATTTAAATCTGAATTTCAATTGGAAAACAACCTTATAGCCAATGTTTTGATGAGACTGCTCAGTTCATTTAAACTGAAATATTGCATACTACATTCTGCTAATAATTAAACCACCCTGCACAGTTTTTGCCACATTATGCATAGAGCTTCAATTTCTTTTGAGGCATTTTACCTTTACTAAAGGTACTTTTTATTAAGCAAATAATGTTTTTTTCAAACAGAACATGGAATCTTGTGACTGGAAAATCAGCCTATGTCACCAATATCAAAGAAGGTATGCTATTACATATTATTAATCTTTTGTTAGAGCCCTGCTTTCCCTTACCCTGTCAGTTATTTTGGGTGTACAAACTTTCATTTATTTATTTGTTTGTTCCCTGGGACTCCAGCTGCCTTACAGGTTAAGTGGTCCCCTGCAGGAGACAGCTATGCTGTTGCTATTGGAACAAAAGTAGTTGTTTACAAACTTGCAGTAAGTTTACTCAGACTCTAAGTATACTTTATAGTTCATTCAAAAGGCAGCAAGCATGCACATACATTCAGACATGGCATGAAGCTTTTGAATTTTGAAATGTGGCAAAGGCAGCAGTGATCAATCCACAAGACTTATTTAATGTTAAAGTGCCTCAATTTTATTCTATTATTTGACCTAGCTTCCCAATAACTTCCCCAAAATTCAATTGGTATAATATCTTACCACAAAATTAGAAACTAGCTCCAGTTTAAATATCTTTGTTTTTTTTTCTATGTTCCATTCTCATTAAAAAAAATTTTAACATCATTCTTTATTTTTATCATATTTAGACAGCTGCCTTATCTTTTACAATGGAGTTCTCCAGATATGTGTTGGCTTTGGAGTTTCTCTCGGTAAGAGAACAATACTTTGTAGTGTTAGATATGGCAGTTAGATTATTTGATCTTAAAGAACTACACTGTACTGTGCAGTAGAAAAACATTTCTGTTATTTTTAACCATCTTAGGAAAATATCCTGGCTGCAGGTGGAGAATTTGAAGGAATAAGAATATTGGATATTGAAAAGGAAGTGTGTCTTCAGACAGTGAAAGGACATGAAAGCAGGTGAAGAACTTAAATTACCCATAGAAAGTACATGTAAGAAATGCAGTCAGGTAGACCAAGACAATATTGTCTTACAGGTTGTCTGTTTTCCGGCTTTTGAGCCTTGAGTTTCATAATCCTTTTACCCCAAAGACATGAGAGCTAATCTTAATTGTCAATTAACATTCACTTCTACATGTATGTGCTGAAATGGAAAGAATTTGATGTTTCATCAATGCAGTGTCCATTTCCTAAATTTTGTTTATCATTCTGTTTACTGGTCTTGTAAATTGTAAGGAGAATATGGCATAGATCTCTTGTGGTAACGTGAAATTCAATTTTGTTTATATTGCCTTCTTCAAAGAATACCCCTTTTGACTTGCTGCATACATTACATTCCTTTCATGAACCCAGATACCCACTTAAATATGTGATTCTTTATTTAACGCGAGTTTAAGTCCTAATCCACTGTCCAGTTGACAAGAATTTAAATTGGTTGTGAGCTTGATATAGTGCCAAATTCCCCTTAAATTGTGTCTAAGAAAAGATATGCACCCTTGATGGGAGAATTGCTAATCGCATCTTGCTCATTGAAGGTTTAAATCGAGTTACTGCAGCGCCAGTGGTAGCGGTATGAATGTAGTAACTTTAAATTGGCATGTCTTTCTAGGATAAAAGATCTCTGCATGACAGACGATTTGCTGAAAGAGGAAACTGGGCGTTTGGTTTTGTTTTCGACGTCATCCGATGGAGATTTAAGAGGCTGGGCTTTCAACCCTGAAAACGTAAGAATTTACCTTCTTTCGAGTGAGTCTTGAAATCTCTATCTCCAACTGACTTGTTTTTCTATCCATATGTGAAGTTTGAAGAAGATGCTAAGCTTGTAGCGAGGTATCAAGTACCTGGACGACCAACATGTCTAACGGTCGTGGGCAGGCGATCGGTACCTGCTGCGGCAAAATCTGAGCTGGAGACAAAAGCTGTGGAGTCCGAGCAACCTACAAAAGTGAAGAAAAAAAAGGAAAAAGGAAAGAATGAAAGAAGAACCACAAGTGTTTCAGGTATTTCGGTTCCATGGCAAATCATATGCAAGCATTGAGGTTTTTAAAATAACTCATCGCTGCTTCATGGTGTTTTTTTTTTTTTTGATTGACTAAGACGATAGCTGAGAATAAAAACATGTTTTTGAATAAAGCATTTAGGATTTTCTTAGGAAACCTTACAAGATTTCTAAGACAGGCCTTGCCTAGATTAGCACCAGCTATCTGCAGGCCAGACTAGCTGTAGCTTCTATTTTGAGAATGAAAAATTGAGAACGTTGTTATTGTTCTTGTTATTTTAGAAATTTACAGCTACCTGTTTCGTTTCTCTTTAGCTGACGAGCCCAAAAAGAAAAAGAACAGAACAAAGAAGAGGAGAAGGTCCGCTAAGAAACGAGGCGATTCCGGTCTTAAAACGACAGAGGGATTTAGCGGCACCAATGAAAAAACTAAAGATGAAACTGAAATGGTGGAAGGAACTGAAAACGGACAAAGCGACGGTAGTAATTCTAGTGGGGAAGACGAATGAAGTCAAAGAAAAGCGTGGGATTTACTTTATATTGATACACTCAGTAAAAGGATTTAGTAAAAGGTCGTGGTCAAACACTTCTACGAGCGAGGAAACATGCGCGCTATGGGTTCGCCCCATGTGCATCTCGCTGCACTGCTGCCCTGGCTCAGTTGTCTGTGTTCCTGTTATCGAGGATTAGTCTGTCTTGAGCTGAAAATACTTTGATGCTCAGCTAATCGAAAAAGTTCGATTAAGTTTGGTTAAAATCTACTCCGTGTGCTCTCTAACCATGAGGTGTAAAGATCACTCTAAAAGGTGGAAAATCTGAAATCCCGTATGGTTAATTCAAACCTTATATGTGAAAAGGCAGGCAGCCGCCAAGAAGAGTGGCAAGAAGAGTTGCGCTTAAATTAATGGCTTGGCCAGATACGATCAGTATTTCCGTCCATCACTCAAAGAAATGCCTCGGTTGTAGATCTACACCAAGCAGTGAATTATTAAAATGGAGATCTGCTCCATGACAATTTTAGCTACGAATGAACTAGCGTGCGTAGCGAAGGAGATTATTCGCATGATGGCATAATCGGTAAGGGGGTTTGTTAACCGCGGAGAGAATGAGAAGAAGCGATTGACATCTCTAGACACTTCGTGATTCTTACGAGAAATAGTTTTCCGCTCTTTATTGTATAAAGACTATGAATAAACCAGTTTTTCCATGCGTTGTGTGGTATGAGATACTATGAACTTAACACAGAGACAGTAATTGCTGATTTACGTTTTAGCTTTGGACTGAAAATTATTTTACGGAGAAATGTTATTTATTATCTTTGTCCCCTTCCCCTTTTCTTTGATTTTTTTTTAATCCCATCAAGATCGCAGATTATTAGGTATTTCTCAAAGCCTGTTCAAGAGTCTTGGTTGAGGGGACGAGTGACATAGCTAAGGAAAGCGCTTGGCAGGTGCTACGGGAGGCGAAAATTCGTCCTCCCACTTTTTTGCTTTTCTGCACTGAATGAGGTGCTGTTGCAGTTCTTGCCTATTAAAAGTTGCAATTCTTGCCTATTTTTGTAATTCTTGCCTATCACAAGTTATTTGCGTCCTCTGTCGGGTATCGGAGCCCAGTCAGCTCTGTATGGTGTCCAGAGCGCGGGCACAGCGAGAGCTTTAAAATGCCGTGCAATCGGGGTGGCCTTAAGGTTTCTCTTTCTTTTACCGGAACCTTAACTTACCGGTAAACAGCATTGAGGTCAGTTTTATTTTTATTTATTTATTTATTTATTTATTTTATTTCATTTTATTTTTTTGTCTCGCAACTACTCGCTTGTTTTTTGGCCCTACTAATCTTGTCTTTCCCTCAAAAACTTTTCCCAGAGTTCTTCGGTTCCGTGGTCCTTGACGTGGCGTTCGTACCCAGACTCTTTTTGGTAGCCGCTGTTCGCTGGCGTCCGCCATTACAGATATTTGGGGTAGAATCCGGTTACTATCAGGTGAATCATAGGCCATCTCGTCCTTTATGTAGCTGCCTTTGAGAAATATGGCATCCAGGAGGAATCATCTGTTATTTCTGCTTGTTCTTTTGAGCTTGGAGGCTATCACGGGGGATGAACATACCCATAAAGTACGTCAATATTGTTTACGTTTGAGTCTTGATCTTTTCCTTTATGTTCCACCGCAGTTAATCGTATCTTCTCTATTATGTTCATTTAAAGTATCACTGAGCTACTTCGTAAAGTTTAAAATTATCGTGGATGGAAAATTTTCTTTTTGTTGATGTGATCGATCTTATCTTCCTCTGTGGTAATATGCGATCGCTTATGAACGAATTATGAGAAATTGACACATCAGCATATGAGATCGTGTCCAGATATACGTTGCATTCATTGCTGTTACGTTGGAAACAAGTCACTCTAGCACCACAATGTAAAGGAAAAACCTTGTTGCAATGTTTAACATCCATTTTACGAAATCTGACCTGTAGAGTGCATTAAATATTGGTGGAACATTGTTTGTTTACGGTAATGGTTGTGTGATCTTCCCCTTGTTATATGTCAGTGTCGGTCTTCATTTGTTGTCGTCTTTTGAACTGTTGTAATTATTACGCAAACTAGGACTTTTAAGATTTCTCCATAATTCGTGAAGGTTTTGACGAAGCTTTGAAATCTTATCCAAGCGTACCTGTTAACTTAATGGTGTGACTGAACAGATGATCTCTTGTCTTGTCGCGAGTTTACTTTACTTCACCTAAATAAGAGAGAGGAATGCAAAGCATAGCTTCCAAGGTTTCCTTTCCTCAATCCAGACAATTGTTTGTTACTTGGTTACAAGAATTAGGAGCATGCTATATAAGATTTTGTGCTTATTGACTGGGTGGTAGGGCTGCATGGGAAATTGTTTGGTACCAGGTCATGATATCAAGACTTTTCTGTACTAAGTTTTGAACTTAGGTTATGACTCATGGCCAGAAATTTTTTTCCCTCCAGCCTGACCTGACTCAGGCAATAAGCATTTTCCTACATGGGTACTTCACTTCCTCTTCCTTCTTCCATTTTGTCTCTTAAAAGCCAGGTAGGGCTGTCAAGGTTTTTATGGCCCTGCATGAACCATCTCTAATGGGGATTTTTTCACAGTGTGTTTCAGTTAAAGCTCATGTGGGTCTGGTCAGGTTAAATGATAGACCAAGATTTAAATGATAGCTATTTTTTGGTCATACACAGTAAGATTTAGTTGTTAAGTTAATGAGTGTGGTAAATCTGAAGATCTTTGGATTTCTTTGATAATGCTACATGCATTAAAAAATAGTCCTCTAAGATTTTTACAGTATATTTACTTAGCTTGTGAACTCAACTACCGCTTCAAATTGGTTATTGAAATTGGTGTTCATTTATATATAAATGACTTTTTGCATTAAATAATGATGTGCGGCTGCACTGATATATATTTCTGATGTGGTATAGATAAATAGATGGAGACTGCCATGCACAACAGTACTGATATACACAAGAATTGCATTAATATGCAATTAATAACAATGCATTAATATTCTTTGTTTTTCAATTGCAGTATGAGGATGGTGAGGAGGTAGTGCTTTGGATGAACACAGTTGGCCCCTATCACAACAGGCAGGAAACGTACACATATTTCTCACTTCCATTTTGTAAAGGAACCAAGAAGGACATCAGTCATTACCATGAGACACTGGGCGAAGCAATTCAAGGAGTTGAACTTGATTTCAGTGGAATTGATATTTCTTTTAAAGGTATAATTTTGGAGTTATTGAGTTTTTATTAGAATCCTTGATTTGGAATTGGGATTGCTGTGAAATGAATGAAAATAGAATGTGTGCATGCACATTTCCTGGTCAAAGCTACGTATGTAGGATGTTGAACAATATGTGCGTGTGTTGCGGAGTGAAACATTTGAGGAAAAAAAGATTTCAAACCAGTCTGATTTGTGTTTTCTTTTTGACTGGCTTTGATGATATTTCTTGACCAAATACAAACACTTCAAACTATTGGAAAACATTTAAATCATTTTGATCAGTTATTTGTGCTTTGTTTAAACCAATGTTAACGATTCTTAATGCTACTGAAACCAAAAAATTTTATAATTTATATATTAATAAAAAGAAAAGTTGAAAATAACTTACTCTTTCATCCTATTGCTTCCAACTTCACTTGTACATTGTAAATATATGTACAGTGTATCAACCCTATTTTATACTTGTGTTATTTATTTCACTTCTAGTTAATGTACCACCTTTAGAGTACTGTACTATGGATCTGAGTCAGGAAAATCATGATGCATTAGTTTATGCTGTAAAGAATCATTATTGGTATCAAATGTATATAGGTAGGTTCTTGTATCATGATACTTAGTCTTGCATTTATTTGCAGTGTTCACATATGACATATGCTCGTAAGCTGTGTCTAAAAGTAACTTTACAGGACTCCAAATAATTCTTCATTCTTTATATATTTTATTGCAGATGATTTGCCAATTTGGGGTAAGTGTTGTAGTTTTGTTTCACTTTCTCTAAGAGATTTTCCAGGAGTAGATGTTGATAGTTTTCATAAATGGTCAATTATAGCCTTAGTCAACCAAGAATGTCTTAAATTTGTTACACTGTAATTTGGTTAGAACAAATCAAACAAACAATTTTTCAACAGAAGATGGTGGCTTTATTGCCTTTGCTGGAAAAGGTCACCAAAATACAGTAGCTAAATTATAAATTTGCCTTGTCAAAGTACAAAATCAGCCAGAAATATACTCACACAGAAAACAAATGTCGAAGAATTCTCAGCTCAATTTATTAGCTTTTGTTCTTATAGATTTCTACAGAATGACAATGCATATTCATTATATGCATATGACATACTATCACTTGCTTCAACTCTCTTCAGGAATCGTTGGTGAAATTGGTGAAAGTAAGGATGAGTTCTATATCTGGACACACAAGAAGCTTGATATTGCCTACAATGGTGACCAGATTGTAGATGTGAGCTTAACAAGTGAATCCAAAGCAAAACTTGTTCCCAATTCAAAACTAAGCTTCACTTATGAGGTAAATAACTTAAATGAATTCAGCTATAGTGACTGTAAAATAAACTTAGAGATAACACTGTTGTTAAACTAATGTAGTTGAAAGCCATCACACTGTGGAGATGTTGGTTTGAGAGTGAAATGGAAAAAGAAAATTGCTAAAACTATATGGCTTCCAACAATGAGAGCTGCCTCATGATATTTATTTTACATACATTATATTAAATCGTAGTGTTTTGTTGTTTTGTAGGTTAAGTGGACAGAATCCAAGACAACTTTTGAGAAGCGATATGAAAAATACCTTGATCCTAGTTTCTTCCAGCACAGGGTAAGATTCCTTGCAAAGTTTAAATTACTACAACACCTTATGGTCATTTAAAATAGTTTTGCCTATGGTTAAATCTCCGTATGTTTTAGATCCACTGGTTTTCAATCTTCAATTCCTTCATGATGGTTATTTTCCTGGTGGGTCTTGTCTCCATGATTCTGATGAGAACTCTGAGAAAAGATTATGCAAGATACAGCAAAGATGATGATCTTGATGACATGGTAAGATTGTCATTCTCATTGGTAATGTTATGGCCTTTTGCAAAGTTTTTTGGGAGAACCGAGTAGGTTAGAAGCCATACCAAATGTCTGGTAAACTTAATGACATGGTGGGGGATAATCTTGGCATGGACTGGTATCCCATTCAGAGGGGAGTGGTAATACTCCTAGTCTCTTCATAGTAAGGAAACTGGAATAAGCTCCAGCTGGGTGGGCTATTTGGCTCAAATATAGCTGCAACCTTAATACTTAACACCTAATTACATGTTCTTGTGGCTGTCCAGGAGAGAGACCTTGGAGATGAATATGGATGGAAGCAGGTTCATGGAGATGTGTTCAGGCCTGCCTCACATCGAGTGATGTTCACCAGCTTGATTGGCACAGGATATCACCTATCTAGTGTTGCTGCCTGTGTTATCATGTTCACTATCATGGGAGACCTGTA